AGGATAAAGGAAAAAGGACTATGCACATGCACCGATTCTGGCCGGGCCCATCCCGAGCCCAGGATCGGTGCATGCGCCCTCCTAGCTTGGCCGGGAAGGCCTATGCACCGATCCTGGGTCGGGGATGGGCCTTGCCAGGAACGGTGCATGTGCATAGTTCTCGTCGCCCGAGCCAAAGTAGGTTGGAACATCGTTCGGCGGTGGACAAACCTCCCTTTAGCAAACCTCCCCTTAGCGAAAACGTCCTGGGACCGAAACCGACGGAGCTGGACCCGCAAAAATGACGGCCGCGACGCCCTCTTGCAGACCGAACACGGCCAATTCCTGAATCGACGTGTCAGGGTAGGAGGTCCTGCAACCCCCGAATCACGAGGCGAGATCCCGATTGCGGAAAAAGGATATCGCCCTCCCTCAAGACAGTGGGAGACGAGGGCGCGCGACGCCGGAGCGAGACGCCCCGGCTTCCGCACGGCTCGCCGGCCGTCCGTGCACCCTGGTGGAAACAAACGTTTGAGAAGACGGGCGTGAGCGGCACCATGGCGAGCGCGCCTCCTTGGTTTAAAAGGATCCCAGGACACACAAACAAATAAATACACACAAATAAAGAGATGCCCCATGTCTTCCTACGTTTCCTGGGTTTTTCGACTTCCCCACATTTCCCACAGTTTCCCATGTTCTTTCTGGGGAATCGAGGATTAATTGTGTCTGTGTGTTTTTTCCCTCCTGATAGTTGCTTTGAAGACGAGTCGCCCTCCATTCGCGAAACTAGAGACCACGACCACGTCAACGACGGCCAAAGCGAAACCCTGACGTCAGCGACGATGACGACAACGACGACGACGACGAAGACGAGGACGACGACGACGACGACGACGAGGACGACGACGACGACGACGACGACGACGACGACGACGACGACGACGGCGACGACGACGACGACGACGACGACGACGACGACGACGGCGGCGGCGGCGGCGACGACGACGACGAGGATGAGAACGGCGGCGGCGATGACGACGACAGGGATGAGAACGACGACGACGAGGAGGACGACGACGAGGACGACGACAACGATGACGACAACGACGACGACGACGACGACGACGACGGCGGCGGCGGCGACGACGACGACAAGGATGAGAACGACGACGACGAGGATGACGGGGACGACGAGGATGACGACGACGACGACGACGACGACGACGACGACGACGACGACGACGACGACGACGACGACGACGACAACAATGACGACGACGACGACGACGCGTCCTCGCCGACCGCGCGGTGGATCCGTCGCAGCTCGCGCTCGCCGCCCACCGAGATCTCCTCCGTGCGCGCGGCGGGGAAGCCGCCTGGACCGGAGCCCTCGCAGCACACCGTGCGGCGGTACTCGATGAACACGTCGTCCCGGAGGGAGTCCTCCGGCCGAGGCTCTCTCAATAGTGGACCCCCCCCCCCGAGACCCCCAGCGTCACTACTTTTTCATGACGCCGACCCCCAGACGTCTCGGCCCCTGCCCCGGGACCCACGTTTCATCCTGAACCTTTTTTGGCGGCCCCGAGGCCCGGCGAGGGACCCGAGTCAGAAGAAGGAAGACGGCATAAGCATAAACTGTTGGCGCGCCGCGCGGATTTCTTGGATCTGCGCTGGGCCCCCCTCCCTGGCGCGCGGAGCGCGCTAGGGGCGGCGCCGCCTGGGGGCCCCGGCGCGGATCCAAGAAATCAGCGCGGATCGCCAAAAAAATTTATGTTGATGGCGTTCGACTTACAAACGGAAAATCACGAAAAACCTCCCGTCGCGATGTTTTCACGACGCGGCGGTGTCTGGGCCTGGCACCGCTCTGGCCTGCTTCTCGATACACGCGCCCGGCCGCGGCCAGGAGGCCCCGAGGACCCGCCGAGGCTCACGGAGGCCCAGGCGGCCTCTGCCCGAGGAGCGGCGCGGGCGTGCCGCGCCGAAGCCGTCACGAGCGCGCCGCGCCCGCCCCCGCCCCCGCCCCCCGAGGAGGAGGAGGAGGAGGAGGAGGAGGAGGAGAGGAGGAGGAGGAGGAGGAGGAGGATGAGGAGGAAGAGGAGGAGGGGAGGAGGAGGAGGAGGAGGAGGACGAGGAGGAGGAGGAGGAGGAGGGGGGGGAGGAGGAGGAGGGAGGAGGAGGAGGAGGAGAGAGGAGGAGGAGGAGGAGGAGGAGGAGGAGAGGGAGGGGGGAGGAGGAGGAGGAGGAGGAGGAGGAGGAGAAGGAGGAGGAGAAGGAACATTGGGAACATTGGGGTTCAATGACAACGTAAGTCAAGAACAGTGCCTTTTAATGCAAGCGCAGAAACTTACACGATCAGGAACCCAGGGCCTCCCTCACCGCTTTGGGGGGGCCTCCAGGGTGTGGGTATTCGCCTCGATCGATGCGGGCCAGGTTCTGTTTGCCCTTAGCCGTGGGCTCGCATCGAGGGACAAGCTGCCGTGCATCCGACGTGCACGTCTTCCCACATTGGGTGCAAAAAATCAGCATATGTTTCCGCCAAACATGGAGCCGATGGGTTGCATGGAAGGTTTCCCCCCCACAAACGGCGGGCCAGAATAGGGTGAGAACTCATTAGTTCCACCGCCCCTGCAGGGATATTCACAAACCTGGAAATCGAGTCCTGGTTGGCGAGCAAATCGCACCTCCTGCACCAAAATTTCGGGCCCGCACGGGCCCACACGTGAGGCGACTCCCGAAGCGAGCGAGCGAGCCTCGGGAGCGCAGCCTCGCCTCTACTGGGGGGCCGCCATTCCGCGGTCCATGGACCCGCCAGGATGCAACGCGCAAGGGCTCTCCGCGCACGACGACGGATCAACGAGGCCATAGCATCCCGCTCGTCAGTGCTGGGGACAGGGGAAACAACATACTGAGACCACGCAATCTCGGCCATGAATCCAGCGAGCGAGTCCGCTGATTCATTACCAGACAAATGAAAAACCTGGTGCACAGTCGGAACAGGGGGAGGAGAAGGAGGAGGGGGAGGAGGAGGAGGAGGAGGAGGAGGAGGAGGAGGAGGTGGACGAAAAGGAGGAGAGGGAGGGGGAGGGGGATGGGGAGGGGGACGAGGAGGAGGAGGAGGAGGAGGAGGAGGAGGAGGAGGACGAGGAGGAGGAGGAGGAGGAGGACGAGGAGGAGGAGGAGGAGCCGCGGATTCGAACGTCATGGCCCCTGCGATCGCCGTCTCAGCGCGCTCCGGCGAGCTCGAGGGATACCACGTAGAGGGCAATTGTTCCAAACGACGCTTGTCTCGAGAGGGTTTGGCAACTGGCCTTCCCTCTCTCGCTGCATCGAAGAGGGAGGAGGAGTAGGAGGGGGGGAGGAGGAGGAGGAGGAGGAGGAGGCGGAGGAGGAGGACTAGGAGGAGGAGGAGGAAGAGGAGGAGGAGGAGGAGGAGGAGGAGGAGAGGAGGAGGAGGAGGAGGAGGAGGAGGAGGAGGGGGCACAAGGAGGAGGAGGAGGAGGAGGAAACGAAAGGGGACGGGAGCAGGAGGAGTAGCAGGAGAAGGAGAGGAGGAGGAGGAGGAGGAGGAGGAGGAGAGGAGGAGGAGGAGGAGGAGGAGGAGGAGGAGGAGGAGGAGGAGAAGGAGGAGGAGGAGAGGGAGAAGGAGAGGAGGAGGAGGAGGAGGGAAGCGGAAGATGAAGAGGAGAGGGGGGAGGAGGAGAAGAAAGGAGGAGTGGAGGAGGAGGAGGAGGAGGAGGAGGAAGAGGAACCCCCCTTTTTTACTCGACGAACGGTGCCAAGACTCCCTGGAAGCGTGAGGTACATAGAACTGTGGCAACCCGTCGCCGGATCGGGTCTCGTAGTGATCCTTCTCTGATATGCTATGCAGACTGGTGCGCGCACGCGGTCGATGATGCAACACACGCGCGGCGGGGCAGGCTGCTGCAAGGGTTAGCCACGCAACATGCAGGGGGGGAGCGACTCGCAGAGAGTTGCCGTCCTCGGATACACAAAAACAGCAGTGCACGGCGCACTAGAGGAAGATATGCAGAATACCCATTGAGCTGTCCAATGAAAAGTGAGGAGCAGCAACCCACTCGAACTGGGACGGATAGTAGTCGTCATCGTCGTCGACTGAGCTCGCCGCCACCTGGGGCTGAGGTGGGTAGAGCGCCGCGCCCCCGATCACTTCACCACGTGCAAACACGACGGGGCCCGTCCCTGGAGCCTGCACATCTGAGCTTCCCTGTCCTACTGCGCCAGGATGTCGAGCCAGCTCGCCAGCTCGTCTTCCAACCACCCAGGCGGGGCTACACCAGTGTGGTGGGTCGCCACTCCCTCTGCGATGTATGCGTTCGTGATGACTCCTCTCATCGGCCACACTGGCGCGGCCACCTGGAGCTTCACCTTGTCGGTGTCGCGGCACCGCTCGACTCTGATCGCGGCCACGTCGAGCTCGAGATTGGCCCTCGTCACTGTGGGCTCGGCGCCGTTCGGTGGAATGATTTGCTGCATGCACTGGCTTATGTCGCCCCTTGCTTTTCCACCGACGTCGCGCTCCGCTAGACGCTCGAGCAGGCCGACTGCGAGGCTCGCCACCGGGCTGCCCACCTCCCGCAGCGCCTCGGCGCCTCGCGGGCGGGCCGCCTCCACCTCCTTGCGGTAGTCCTCCATCGCTGCCTCGAGCTTCTGGATCGCGCGGTGCTCTTTGGGGAGTGCGAAAGCGTCGATCGTCGCGGCGGCCACGGGCCTCAGCTTGAAGGAGTTCTGGAGCGCGAGCTTCGTCAACGTGGCCAGGCGCTGCTGGAGGTTCTGATCCTTCGACGTCCACGGTGTGGTTCCCGCGCCGTCGGCGCCTGCCACCTCTGCGCCCGCCTCCGTTGCCGCCCTTGCCCGTCTGGGCGCGCGAGGCGTCTTGGGGGGCCTCTCCGCCGAATGTTATGGCCCACGGCTGCCCGAGGCACCGGGGGGGCCCTTGAGGAGCCACTTGGGGGTTGGGCTGGCCTCGCTGGGAAGCGCCGCCGCCGCCGCCATGATCTTCGGGTTCCTCGGCGCGCTCAGGTAGAAAAAGCACTGGTGCGTTCGCGGCTGTCACCCGCGGGGAGGGGCTCGAGGCCCGCCCGTCCGCGCGGTCAGGTACTGGTCCTGCACGTGGCGGTCGCTGCGCAGGTTGTCGTCGCCGAGGTTCTCGCTGTCGATGTCGCTGTTCACGCAGCTCGGCAAGTCGTAGGAATCCCAAGCGAAGCCGCGCTCGTTTCTCCTGAGCATCGCCTGGTCGCCACGAGGGCGGCGGCAGCGCGGCTCGCTCTGTGGGCCCACGAGCCCCGTGGGCTGGTTGCGGCGAAGACTTCTTGAGCCAAGAGCCTGACGGACATGGGGGGGCGTGGGTTCCCACGTGTCTCCTCAGCTCTAACGGGTCAGAATAATGGACGTGACATCCTGGATGGTCGCTGTACTCTCCCAGCGGACAGGCTGTCAACTCGGGCGGGATCCAAGCGCGCTGATGTCTCGTTAGGTTGGGGATGCATATTCCAGCCATCCAGGAACGGAATAGGCGGCGCCGAGCGCGGTCAATGTTCGCAAAGGTCGCATCACAGCCGGTGCATCTGTTATCCAAGCATACCTGGGACAGGATCGGAGGCGCGCCGTGGCCTGGGAGCGTCGCAGGCGTTGATCTGATGCTTGACCAGCTCGCGGTTTGTTGAAAACCGTGCCCGACACCCCTCAATACCACACCGAAGGGAGGCAAGCCCCTCCCCCTCACTCTCAGCGCCCCCCAGGACCTCATCCGTCGGGAGGTGGGTCTCGAAATGCTCGGGGGGTGGGGGGTGGGGGGGGCACTCGCGGCTTGTAAATGAAATCCGAATAGCTCGAAAATCTCACTTACAGAAGATCTCTGAGGCCTCGGAGTCCTTGTTGAACAGCGTCCCAAGAGTACGGGGCGCCCAGGCACCCCTCAACTCGTGCCCCACGGGGTGCGCCAAGATCGTTTGTAGGTCCTCATGGATCTGGCGGGCCCAAGGGTGAACATTCGGGGACGGTTTAAGCTCGCCGCTCTCCAACCTCGTCGGCTCTGCAACTGCCTCGCCCGACGCGCAGGCACGCGCCTCGAACTTGCATTCCCCGAAGAAGGCGCTGAGGTAATGGCGATGATGCCCCGGATGTATCATAATAGCACGCCACCACCCCATCCTCCTTATCATCAGTTCAACCCCTGTGGGGGGATCTCCCACTCCTCGAACACGGCCCAAGACATCATCGATCGGTGGGTGCCGTCATTGTGTTCCGGGTGTGCCGCTGCAGCCATCGTCGCCCTGAGCTTCTTGGCAAGGGATGTGTCGAGGGCTCGTATCTCCAGGGGTGAGCACGTACGCCTCTAGGCCTGACCATACACGACCTGCAACACTCGCCAGGAACATGCTGCGCTTGCTCCGCCAGGGGCCGGGTGCGGTCCAATAGTGCCT